ATTTAGTCATATTTTGCATAATTCTAAGTAGATTTTGTAAAAAATCAAGAAAGAAAAATTTTAACGTGCTTTATTTTTTCTTTTTTATAATAATACATATTATTATATAATTAACATATTCATAATGTTTCACCCTTTCAAAAATATAATCCTCCTCCTCTCAAATAAACGTACATACGGGTGGCCTCTTTTTTCAAAAAATTAAAATTTGAAATTTTGGGCTCAAATATTAGAGATTTTTTCAACCTTCAACGATATATGTTGTCTATATCAGACCTCCTTTCTTTTTGATACTTAACATTGTTCCTAAATCTTAGCCGTTAAGGCTGTTCTGAAAATATTTTTTTTTCGAAAAAATTCGAAAAAAATTCTTAAAATTCAAAAATCCCTTAATTCCTGAGGATTTTGGAAAAAAGTTTTTACATGAACATGTGTATATTATATGAAGTATATTGATAAGGTAAAAATCAAATTTTATTGCATATTCATCGAGAAAATAAACTAACGAATCCCTCAAAATTGAGAGGGTAATCCTCCTCCTCTCAAATAAACGTACATACGGGTGCACCCTTAAGTATATCAATAATGTTTTCTTAGTTTACATATTATTGATATTTGTATCATGCTGAAATGTGAGATCAATTCGATTGTATCATCGCTTATCTTGATGTGGTAAATTTTTGTCATTTCAACTATAAATGGAATAATTATAGGTTCAAAACGAACAGTGTAAATGTCGTCGAACATTTCAATGCATACGAATTTGAAATCAATATGTGTATCTTCTACAAGGTACTGATCAATGTATGATTTAAATTTTTAGAAAATTATCTCTGTTTTAGTTTAATAAAATAATATTGCGCGGTGAATTTGTATCTCAAAATTATGTAACTGTATCGGTAACAACTTCAAATGTCTTATTGACAAGATTTGTAAAAAAAAATCAAAAATATACTTGAGATCATATAAATGTGCTCTTCTCTTTATAACGTAAGAATTGATCAAAGATAACATGTGTACTACTGATTGATTTTGGAGGATTGCTATGATTAGAGACGATTTGATTAAATAATTCAATGAAAAATGGACTATTTGATTCATCAATTAGGAGATTCGATTGTTTGTATTCGATTGCACTTCTGCATTTGGTGAATTAGTTGTATCGTAAATCAAGGAAAGTTAATCATCTGCTGTGATACTCTTAAAAAATTAAAAGAACGAATTTTTTTTCTAAATACAATTAATGGCATCAGATGATTAGATTACTTTTTTAGAAATCATCAATCAAATTTGGCATATTTTTGAAAGAATATCTAAAGACAAGACACCCAATAAGAGTTTTTGTGCATACGGTTCTCGGGCGCCTATGTCACATTCACAAAGGACTCCGTCTTTATTAGCAAACTCAGAAGAAATGTTTAACAAAAGAAAAATTATTTCATCAAGACTAATAAATGTTTTAAAAAAGCAAATCACATCATTAACATATCAGTTTTAATTACAAAACTCAACGATACATAACAAATTTCTTCGAAATTTAAATTCTCATTAAAAAATTCTTTTGATACAAATTAAATAGCTACATATTCGATTTTCCCATTGATACGAACTTATTGTTTTCATTCAAGATTTACAAGAAATCAAATACTTATTTCACAACAACAAATATCTATTTTTACTCAAACACGAGCATGTATTTACTAATAAATTCATGTTTTTACATCATTACATTTGACAATACTATCAAAACAACCCCAAAATCAAACTAATTTTCGATATTCTTTATTCAGACCAGAGAATTCATATAAATCATCGATTACTCAAATTTAAGTATTCATTTAATGTAATAATTGTTAGATATTAGGCGTTTTATATAAAGATTCTCCCTATTTCAAATTTTCAAGCGAATTAAGTCGATATTTCATACATTTTATAATATACAAATCATGTGTAAGTACAATAGCTTTAATTATTTACAATATTGATCATTTTATTACGAAATCCAAAAATTTAATCAGCAAAATCGATGTTTTTATATAAGATTAGAATGATTTACATCATTGTTTCCATGCACTAGCTGTTAAAATGCTGATGACAGCTAAAAGAATCGCAATTTCATAACTTGAATATAAGATTCAAATGAATCGGCATTATTTGACATTTACATCATTGAAATGTCAAATAATGCCAATTCATTTTTTTGATGAAAACAATGAAATTCAATCACGATTTTCAGATAACAGTATCAAAACACACATCAACTATGAATAATTTACACTTTGATCAATCACCTAATAATGTTTGGGAACTCTTTTACAATACATCACATAATCCAGAACCAATTCAAGGTACAAATGTTACGGCTAGATCAACAAATAATGAATGCTTCTTATATAACTGTATATTCATCACCATTACAACTAAAAGTGCCATTTATTTTACGAATACAAGCAATAAGTTTCTTAACTCGTATTGTTCATTTACTAACTGCAGCAGTAATACATATGGTGGATCTATCTACTTTAACTGTAATAGTTTCATTGTCCAATACCGAACATGTGGCTATAAATCAAAAACAAACTCTGAAAATGGACATCATTCATATGTTCAATTAGTTTCTAAATCAAATAATAAAAATTATCTTTATGAAAGTTCTTTTTATTTATGCGGAAATTTAGAAAAATCTTATACAAATTATCTTTGGTATGGAAATATTGAAGTTAAATCAATCAACACAAGTTTCTGTGAAGCAGACTATGACTCAGGAATACTTCTATGGTATACAACAAGTCTAAGTAATGTAACATATTCATCATTTTGTAACACAACATCAAATTCTAGAATTTTAGAATTAAATCGTGGTAACTCTAATTTTAATTTTTGTAATGTTTTGAACAATAAACACAAAAAATCTGATTATGGAACTACATTCTGTGCATTTGTATCAACTGTTCTTATTGAAAATTGTTCATTTCTTGGAAACACAGGACCAGGAAAAGAATTTTATCAATGGGGTTTTGGTTCAATTACAGTTAAAGATTCTTTCTGTGACAGAATAATAGATAAAACATATGGATCAATTAAAACAAATAATGTTCAAAATATATATTCTATTCATAATCTTTCTCACTTTTCATCATATTTGTGTGAAGCAGAGTTTCCTATTTTAGTTTTAATGATAAAGAAGAAAATTATCACATATGATGAAATTGTTTATCATTATTCATATCATTTCATTACTTCTCTTTGTATTTCTTTAGTAAATAAATAAAATGCATATTGTTCTTCCTATATCTCGATTTTTTGTTGCTGGTTTCAAGTAGAAATAATGGCTAAATGACTTGTTATGTAGAAATATTTCTTATTTATTAAATTTATTCTTAGTACTTTAAGTCAGAGACACCGACGAACTAAAGAATTTACAAGATGTGCGGAACTTCTTCAAGAGGAATTGGGCAGAACAAGTTGAGAATACTGATGTGTCGCTTAGCCTCCTGTGTGACTTCATAGGTGAGCGAATCACCAATATCCTTATGATAATATGGAATCGTGGACCCAGAGAGTTAAGCGCGGTCGTAGATAGAAAGAACTGGAAGTTCGTAAAACAATGAAGAGTTGAATAACATTTCAGCATTCCATTGGTATGGGAAGATGTTCTTCTCTCCACCAAATCGGACGGATGACCATCAGTGGATTGTTGTTCGAGCAGAAAAGCAGCCGTACTTGTGATCAATGATGATGCGGACGATGATACGAAGACCTGATGTTAGGAAGAGGTGGCCGTTGTCGATAACAAGTGGAACAGCATAGATTGGAGTAACACATGAAAGCTTGCGCTGATTAAGAACTTTGCAAACCCTTCGTTAAGCATTGGATCTGTATCGACTCCTATAAGTTTGCTATTATGCGAGAGGGCATTCTGTATTATGAATAAAAACGCATGTGAATTATTACAATATGTTCTAGCATGATTATTAAAAATATATTGAATAGATTATTAGCTAAAAACTTAAAATTAGAAGGAAATGTGCAATTAATGAGCTATGAAATCCATATAAAGATATTACTTAATTAAAAATTCATTAGAAAATAAGAAGAGATTGAAATATTTTTAATATCAAAAAATTATTACAGAAAAATGATGGTTTATTAGAGCAAACATTAAATATTGTATCAGTAACAATGATTTCAAGAGAAAATTATTCAAAATTTAGCAAGGATTATAACAATTATCTTCGCTTGTAGAGTAGATTTCACCATTAAAGTTTGCTGTTTCAACTGCTTTCTTAACTTCTTCTGCGGAGTATATGTGTGAGAAATGTTGAATAATTTGTTCTTCTGGAGTTCCGCGATCTGAATTGTTCTCTTTGAGGAATTCAATGACATCGTTCTTAATCTTTTCATCTCTGTCTTCGCTTGATCGCATTGGAGGAGGTGCTGTTTCAATATGCTTTGGTGCTTGAGCGAAAGAGGAGTCTGGGGGTGTTCCTCTTGTTGTCTGTAAGTGTACGAACAATGAGTAAAGCATATGATAAGGAATTTGATCGAATTCTGTTATGGGTTTGATTGTGAATGAAGATATTCCATCTTCAATAGCAGGTGTAATTCGTCCAACAACAAAAACGTATGTTCCATCTGGAATTGGCTCTGGATTATCATCTGAAATGAAATTCTTAACTTTGATACTGCCTGTACAATCATTCACCAAGTAATCAATGCTGATTGTGCTATCTTCATGGCTAATGATCTTTCCTACGATGGATACTTGCTTCCTTGGCTGTCCATCAATTAAAATTGATTGTTCATCTGTTTTTTGCTTGTTCAAAATCTGCTTAATTGTGCAAGGTACGAATCCATCATCTGTCTTGACAGTCAATCTCTGTTGGCCACTGCTGCCAAGGTTATCATTTGCATCAAATCCTCCTTGCATTTGTCACTTTTGAAAAAAGGGAAGTTCCCTCATTCCTTTTTTTCTTCGAATTTTTTTTTAGAAAAAAAAAATGAAACAAACGACATTAAATTTTGGAGGAGCAACGGTAAAGCCAATAAAACAAAAAATTGACCCCATTGTTCTTGATATACCAAAGGACTCAACAAATCCCGATTACTCAAAGATATACGAAGATGTTGAACACTTTAAAGCCTGTTTAGAGCCTTCATGGAGAGAAGCACTTAAAGACGAATTTACAAAACCATATTTACCGCAGCTCCTTCAAAAAATTAAGTCGCGTCCAAACCAAGTATTTCCGCCAAAAGAAGACGTATTGAATGCATTTAAATACTGTCCAATAAACAGTGTAAAGGTAGTTATTATAGGTCAAGATCCGTATAAAAACCAAGGAGAAGCTCATGGTTTATCATTTTCAGTTCGAAAAGGAGTAAATGTTCCACCAAGTCTTAAAAACATATACAAAGAGATAAAGCGTACATACCAAAATGATTTTATCATTCCAAAACATGGATATCTCGAGAATTGGGCAAGACAAGGAGTATTACTTCTCAATGCAACATTAACACTTGACGAAGGCATGTCTCGTAGTCATGAAAAGTATGGTTGGTCAAACTTTACATCAGCCGCTCTTGCAGCTCTTAATAAAAATGTTCAACACGTTGTATATTTAGCTTGGGGTAACGATGCAGCGAAACTTACCTCTCATATAGATAGAGAAAGGAACTTGGTTCTGGTTGGTGGGCATCCTTCTCCGTTAAATAGAACAAATCCGTTTTCTGGTTGTGATCACTTCAGGAAAGCTAATAAATACCTTGTTGAGAATGAAAGAACACCTATCAATTGGAATGCTATTAATGAATAAATATATATTTAAATTATTTGATTTAAATAAAATCAATTTTTTTATTTTACTTCCATTTTAAGGATAAATAATGTCTCCGTTAAGACATATGGAGTTTTCTATCTCCAATTTTAAAGCGTTCACTCATTCTACTAAAAACATAAAAAGATTCATTTTAAAAATCTTTGAAATATAAGCAAGCAAGCAAATATTTCATCGTTGATAAATTTGTTTGTTATTTTACATGACCATTTGGTTTCAAGAACGATCACGATTTCACTCATAATTTATTGATGAAAATTTGGGGAAATGGCTAATACACAAAGGTAGTTTTTGGATGGAGATACTAATTTCAGGCTGGTATTTAAAAATGTTATAATTTTTTAAAAGTAGTAGATGAGTGCGGGTTGTGTGACCTTTTATGTAATCGTAAGAATTCTCACATAATTGAATGATTTTTGAACATACTTCTGAATAGCAGATTTTAAAAATTTATGAATAATTTATAAAAAGTTTTTATTCCTACAATTCCTATATTACCATTAATAAAAAGAATATATTTTGCATAGATTCCAAATATGGTGTCAATTTTTTTAAAAAATTTTGAATTCAATGAGTTATATCAAAAATAAAATTCTTGAATAGAGTAAAAAAATTTAAATAATTTATTTAAATATTTTCTTCTGACATTTATGAATAATTTATTTTTTTAATTCGTAAGAAAATGAGTGGATCAAGATTCGTAACCGTCAATCAATTAATGGATGCTCTTTCACCAATTCTTGAAAATGTTAAACAAGTAGATGTTTATTTCGATGATTATATAGAAAGTTTATATTATAAAGGTAAACATAATATTAAACCCATTGCTTTTGCATTTGATAATAAATTAATTGAAAATGCAAAAATTTGGGAATTAATTCCAGATATTGAATTTATAACAAATATTAAGGATAAATGGTTCAAACGAATTCCAACCACAAAAGTTCTTTGTAAATTAATGATCAAAACCGAGGTCAAAGAATTTCATGAATTTACATATCATCCAAATAAAGTTTCAGAACTAGAAAATGAAAAACTTCAGAAAAAATTAAACGATAGACTTTCAAATGATCGTATTGAAAAAATAAATAAACTAGCAGAAGTTGCATTTAATAATGAAATATTTGATGAATATAACCTTGAACTCAGTGATGGACTTTAAGTCCTGGGCACTTTGTGCCTTGGACTTTAAGGACCCGGGCTCAACGAGTCATGATTTATGAAATCAATTATTTGATTCATTCTTTCTTCAATAATTTCTATTCTTTTTGTTAAATCATCTATTTTCATTAATGAGGTGATTCTTGATTGAGGAATAGATTTCAAACTAATCACTCCTTTTATTTTTGAAATTTTGAATCCATCAACTTTAAACATTTTATTCAATTTACATGTTGTCAATTCTTCAAATAATTTTTTATTATTGGCATAATAGTCATTAAATTCTTCAACAGATGAAAAAATTTTTGTTTCAGTAATGGGTTTAACAACGTTTATTTTATTTTGAACATCATCACTTTCATTTATGTCTTCCTCCTCTGTTTCATTTATTTTTAAAATCGGTTTCATTTATCATTAAATAAAAATTAGAATATAAGTGATGAAATATATTTTTTAATTAATATAGGGTGTCCAAAGGTGTGTTTAGCACAAACCTGAATACTGCGAATAGAAATAAACAAGTTACATATATATAAAGTTTATTTAAATATAATCACCATTGGATTCAATCACGCGTTCGCAGCGATCGATCCAGGCTTGAAAGACACGCTTTAAATCATCATGAGAAAATTGCTCAAATTGCTCTCTTACAAAATTTTCAAGATCATCTGGACTCGCGAATTCGCGTCCTTCAGCTCTCTTTTTTAGCGTGCCGAATAAATAAAAGTCAGAGGGTGCAATATCAGGTGAATAAATTGGGTTTGGAACAACTTTGACATTGTTTTCCACCAAGTAATTCATTACCTTATGACTTTTGTGAACTCTTGAATTATCAAAATGAATTGCAAACTTTTGTTTTTGTTGTTTGGATTTCTCAAACTCATCAGAATTGATAATTTGAGTAAGAACATTGTCAATTAGATACTGAGCATTCATCGTATTAGGTTTTTGAAGAATATCAATTGCGATGATGCCATTCACGCCCCAAAAAACCGACAACATCATCATTGGTGTGTTAATTTTTTTCTTCGGGAATGTTTGCGGATTTTCATCCTTCGGGATCCACATGATTTTGGCTTCTGTTGCATATTGAAACCAAGACTCGTCCCCTGTTACTAAAAAGCGAAACTTCTTGGATTGATACGCACCCAATATAGAGAGGAGCTCTTTCGAAGATTGGACTCTAGATTTTTTTTGAACTGAATTAAGGTTGTGCGGAACCCAACGTGTATACGCTAGTTTGTAGTTCAAATAATTGTGCAGATAATAACTGACTGTTGTACTTGGTATCTTTGTCATCTCCTCTATCCTTCTGAGTGATGCTCTTGGGTCTTCATCTAGCGCTTGAAGAATTGCTTTGATTTTTCTTTGATCCGGCGATTTTTTGTCAATTTTTATGATGGGCGCCTTTTTGTTCATGAAGTGATACATCCTAACATGATACGTTACAGTGAAATAGCTAGGAGCATCCATACCGAAGCATTTTACCAATATCTCGTAGATTTTTTACAGTCTTTGCATTTTTTTGGCAAGAGCGAGGATGTTTTCTTTATGATTCATTAAAAAAATGAAAAAAATCCCGCCAAAATTTCCCGCGAAACCGCCTCTTGTCTCAAAATTCATTTTATATCCCGGCATGGCGCCAAAATACAACATACTCATCATATACATATATTCATATTTTTTATTATATATTTATAATCAGCATATATCTCCTTTAATAGTCTCATATAGAGCGCTGTGCTAAACGCACCTTTGGACACCCTATATTAAATCAGAAATGGCGGCAGGATTCTTTAAAAAGTTATGGGAAGGAATTAAGAAAGCTGCAAGTTGGGTTCATCAGAAAATAATAAAACCCATTGCAAACTTTTTGGCACCAGTAGCGAAAACGGCAGGAACTATCATAGGTGGAGTATTAGGTGCTAAAGCAGGTAATCCAGCGATGGGAGCACAAGCAGGTAACGCAGTTGGTGGAATTGCTGAAGGAATACTTAATAAAATAGGAGGAAAGTAGTGGAAAAATAAATATTATTTTTATCTCAATATCGGTTGTAGTCGACGATAAACTTTATCTCCTTTATTTAATACTTCCCTTACCGGAACATTAGGTGCTATTTGTTCTGCAACGTCACTCATTGCTTCTTTATTCTTAAATATCCAATTTGCTCCTTTCTTCATTGTTTCCCAAACTTTATGCGCTCCTCTTTTTACTTTATCCCATAACTTTTTAAATATACCTGCAGCCATAGTTGATTATTTCATTAAAATTAAAAATTCATTTTCATCTTTTAATTTTGATTTTTTTATTTCATCATAAATGACGACTAACTATTTGGTGCCAAACACTAAACCGATTAATGGAAATGTATTTCATTCATTCGAAAAGATAAATGAAATATTCGCAAAGAATGACGGTAGAAGATATTATAGAGAACTTGAAAGTTCATGCTATGACTCTGATGCTCCATATTTTGATGATAAACAAACTCATTTAAGAATTACAAATCCGGCTCATGATGTGAACCAATTAGGTGACACATATATTAAACGCAAAGTTAAAGCAACTCTAGTTTCAAATAAAGCTTTCACATGTGATGCCGCTTTTAAATGCATGCGTTTATTCGTTGGTTATAAATCATCAAATCAAAACTTTAAGCAATTAGAAGTAGAAACCGAAAGAGGTGATGCTGGTTATCTTCAGATGGATTGCGCCCGTGAATCTTTCGCATTTGCAACATATAAACCAAAATCAGAAAGGAAAGTTAAAAAGTTTGTTCATTCATTATATAATAATGTTCAAAAATATGATAACTCAGTATGTGGTAAATATATTGACCCTTCAGAAGTTTTCAAGAAAGCAAATGAAGAAGTTGATGTCACTTTTGATATGATTATTCCAGTAAATGATTTGTTAGCATTTCAGGCGTTCGATGATTATCCCAAATCATTTGGTGAAATCATTTTTGAATATTATGTTTTCAGGGATACTTTGGTATTTTGCAGGTTGACCCGTTAAGAGTTGCTGATTTACAAAATTACGTTTATGAAAAGATAACTGATGAAAATTATGAAAAGATTATGAATCATGTTTATAAATACGATCGCAAATTCCAACAAATCGGACTTCCTGCAAAATTAATTACAAGCTTAGCCGCTACATCTGCTGACGCAACAGTTGAAGACGTTATTATTTCATGCACAAAGATGGAAGTTTTAGAGGATAAATGCATTACACCAGGATACGGTTTAATTGAAGAATCAGTTAAAGCAATACCACGTTTATTCAGTAAGGAAGATCCATTCATGATTCCAGCTCAACATATTGACGTTCGTTCACTAAATGGAGGTTGCATCACTCCTGAAGGTATCAGTTCTGATTTCTCATACGCTCTTCATAATGTTACAGATGTTGTGTTAACATTTCCGAAGAATGCAATGCAAAGAACGGTTTTAGAAAATCCAATGCTTCGAGGTCTCCAGGTCACTATAGATTCCAGAAACTTCCCCGATCAAGCGATGACCACAGTGGGTGACATATTCTTTACACGTATGCTTCAAGCTTCTGATTTAGATGGAGTGAATGAATGCACAGAAGAATACGAGGACTCATTAACTAGACCACTGAATGATGATAATGGCACGCCATTAGCTAGAACATGGAAAGACCAAACTTCATTCTTATGCACTATTCCAGTTCAACGTGATGGAGCGGGTATATTCTTTGATGGATTAGAAACTTTCAACTCACAAGTTACAGTACAAGTGAAAGCTTATCCAATCATTCAGGGTGAAAATGACACTTACTGTTCAAAGGTGACAAATCCTCCTCAGGTTTGGTTTACTAGGACTACATATTGGACATGGACACCGGATGAAGGTTTGAAATATCATCCAACAGGTACACCACCACAGTATAGAAGTTCATATGATGAAATATTGATGAATAGAAATGTTTAAAATTATAAATTTATTTTTGATTAAATGGATTTCAATTCTGAAGAATTAGCAGGAGTATATAATACATACATAGATGATATGATTAATGAAGCATTGAGTGATAATAGAAATGCTCTATCTAAGGAAAAATTAATGAAAATTCCATATTCTGAATGTTACTTAAATTCAATCACTGCAGCAATTGGTAAACAAAATAAAGGTAAAACATTAACGATATTAAAACAAATTATCATTATTGCTAACACTTCACCTTATTCTCATGTGTTAATTTATATCAACCGTTCTGGTTCACCTTCAGATGATACATTTGAATCATTAAAGCATTTAATAAAAATTCCAATTATTTATTTATCACAAGAAGAAGCAGAAGATTATTTGAAAAACTTTTTAATGTATAAAGAGTTATATAATACAATCAAGAAGCAAGGATTAGAGGATAAAATTATTGATAAACAACGGGATGAATTATTTGAAACACTTTCTATTTCAAATTTTGATAGAGAATTTTTGCATTCACTAATTTTTCTAGATGATGCCGTGAAATCAAAACTAATAACTAATGAGAAATCATATTTTAATCAATTATTAACTCAATGTCGACACATTCAGTGTTCATTCTTTATGGCTGTTCAATACTTTAAAGCATTAAGCACAAACATTAAATCAAACCTGTCCACCCTTTTCATTTTCAGTGGTTTTAGTCGTCAACAGTTGAACGTTATGCTTTATCAAGTGAATTTACCAATGAGCATTAATGAACTTTACACACAATATCAACAATTAGGAGAACATGGAAAAATAATAGTTGATTTAAATAAAGGTTCCATTAAATTCGAATAACTTTTTTATAATTAATTTTTATTTTTTATTTATAATTAAACATGACAGAAATTGCAAATCTTCTACAGGTTCCATTAAAACAAGGAACAAACAAAAAGGGTGCATATAATAGAACTATGAAAGTTCCAGACGGAATGAAAGAATTAGTCCACATTGTTGCCGGTCTTCAAAAGGATGTTAAACAAATGAGAAACGTTTTAACATTACCAGAAGCTCAAGCATATGCCAAACGTCATGGACCAAATTGGGAAGCACATGAAGCAGACATTACAGGACCAAATGGAAAGCCTGATGGAATAAATGAAGTCTTTGTTACTGATGGTCAAGGAAATATTAAAGTCATAAATGGGTATAAATTAACAATGACGGATTATCCTAAACGTAAAGCATATAATGAACGTTATCCTATGCAATTTGATGAAAATGGAAAAGCTGTTAAACAACATATCGGAGACAGTAAATGGACCAATTCTTCATACCGTCATAATCCATATTCTTATTTCAATGAAGAATTAAACGCTATTGAAGAGGGACCGGATGGATTACCACGATATGTTAATCAGTTTGATGGTCAATATGCAAATTTAGACCTGAAATTCCAGCTAAGAAATTCTTTAAAGTTGCTTTATTCGATCCAGTGTTCAATGAACAGAAAGAAGCAATGAAAGCAGAATTTAAACCAATTCAAGTGGCAAGAATTTCTTCATCTTCACTTTCAGAAGCGTTCAAGGAATTGATAAAGAAACCACTTTATTCTCAACAAGGTTATAACTTTGATTTAATTAAAGAAAGTGATAGACGTAAATTAGAAAAATCGGATGGTTTTAAGAATGCATGTAATGAAATGATTAAAGATATTGTAAATGATAAAATAAGACTGGAAGAAACTCAAACCATTATCAATAACATAATTGGTGCAGTTACAAAGAAAGTATAAGCAAACAAGGATGAACCTTGGGATATTACCGTAACAACTAAATAAAACTTTAAATATATTTTTCTTTTTTTTATTCAATTATAAATGAGAAGACGTTTCACAAGTCAAAAGAACACAAACGCAAAAGCAGAGATTACGGTTGGTTATAATGTAAATGATGATAAATCACGAATTATTCAAAATGTTAAAGTTAATGTTAGTCCTGAATTAACAAGGTCAGCAACTCAACCAAATTTATTAACTCGTGACTTACCAAGAAAGGAGGAGGAGCAAAATAAAGAAGATGAACCAGGTAAAGAACCTGTTGAAATTCCCACTTATCCAACATACCCAGCACCACTTGATAACCCATATAAAATAGACATTAATTCTGAATTAATGAAAATATATCGCGATATCATAACTGATAATTATGATTCAATAATAAATTTAATTGACCAATCCGGTTTAATTATTTTACCTTATGAATCATTAATTCACATTATCGCCATTCTTTGTGATGTTCAAGATTCAGACGTGAAGATTCAATTTTTCATAGATGATGAGGTTTCATGCTGCGGAACAGTTGCAAAAATAAATCCTATAAAGGATATTAGCACAATTAAGATATCAAAGAACGGAACAACAACTGAACTTCATTTAACATATAATGATATTTATAATAAAATAGTTGATGAATATAAAATATCACTTGAAAAATTCTTTGTTAAGGCTATTTAATATTCAAGCATTAACATTATCGAATAATAATCCTTTGAATCATAATCGATAATAATTGACCTTTCACCAGTTTCTATCGTTTGTTTTATTTCTTTTTGTTCCCCACTATCCGGATCAGTCATTGTAATTGTTTTTGTTATAGTATCTGCTTTATCTTTAACTTCAATCTTTTTTCCATCGGATATTTAAACCAAAATTCCAAAAATTCGATATTGTCAATCTGTTCATATTTTAATCTATCAATTACATTTTTAATACCATCTGAAAATCTTATGAAATGGTCATTATATGGGTTTGATTGAACTAAATTTGAATGAAGTGAAATATAACCTGATGATGAATATGACATCGACTCATATTTTCTGAAAACACTAAAATTTATAACATGAATGAATTTCTTATTCGTTGAATTTATGAATTCTTGAGGTAATCTTATTCTAGTTTTATTTATCACTGGAAAATAACGCTTTACCATATTTTTAATCGTAATAAAAAATGTCAATTATCAATATTATTTCGAATAATAACTGTGAATTAAATTTAACAGTTAGTGGAATTTATAATGTTACTCTCGTTTCTGTGAGTGGTAAATTTAATCCCATTCTTTTAGACCCTTCAGATTATATATCATTTATTAAAGATGACCATGAAAAAACGTATGATATGTATATAAATAATGTGATAGTGAAATGGGATATTAACACAATTTTAAGTTATTTAAATGAATCATTTATCGTATGGTATGAAGAAAATTTTAAATCAAAACCTGATAAACTTTTTGAACTTGATGAAATAAATAACCTTATTAAATTTCCGCTGAAAATTAAATTTTGTACTCCTCGTCTTCGTTCATTGTTGGGGATATTAAATTTTGAAAAAGATGTTGGGGATGTTTTGTATTCTGACACTGGTTCCAATTTCATTTTAATCAAATGTGATAAAGTTAATACCCCAATGAGATTTTCACATCAAACATTAGACCCTAACTCTTACCCATCAATACAAAACATTTTATCCATCAACTTAAACATATTTTCTTTATCATATCCATTTCAATTATCCGGGAATTCATTTATTCTTCATTCAAAAGATTTATCAAATATTAAATTTAGAATAACTGACCTATTTGATTGTGATTTAGAATTCATGAATGAAATATTATGGCAATTTCAAATAGAAAAAATAGCTGATGAGATAACGGATTAAATATTTATTTTTAAATCGTAATAAATGATTAAACAACAAACCACAGACCATTACATACGCCACATATGCATATAATTCAAAGACGGCAGAACAAACGCAAAGGTTGAAATATGGAGATTTGGAGATAGTATTGAAAAATGACCATTTTGAATTCGTTTGCAAAGGTGGTGCGGTGATATCAAATATAAAAGAAATTTTATTTATGAATTCAAAAATTAAAGGAATAACGGATGATATAACATCAATTCCACCAGAAGAACAGAGATATTACGCATTAAATGCATTTCCTAAAGTTTTGAAGATTGGAAGATTTAATTTAAATGAGGAATTCATAAAAGGTTTCCTAAATGACATAATGAAGAAGGCAGATAAAACATATGTTAACGATGAGTTAGAGAAGAAGGCAGATAAGGAATACGTTGATACTGAGTTAGCAAAGAAAGCTGATATATCATTTGTTAATGAAGAAATAAAACAATCGGAGGTCTATTTTACCCCACCATTTTTAAATTTTATGAAATCATCAGATAAAACATTTGAAGATATTGAATGGTTATGTTTCGATGGAGTGACCATGTATTTATTTTATACAGGCGGAGTGCTTTATTATTTTAAAACAAATGATTTTAAAAACTATGAATCATTTACTCCATCCGTTTTGAATCCTGATACACGAGAGCCAATCATTAATCCAAGAATTTTTTATGTTGAATATAATAACGGCAAATTTATGGGAATGATAACGGTTGGAGATGATTTTTGCCCTTGTTATTCATTCGATTGTATCCAATGGTTCAAATGTAATTTAAATCAAGATGTTAAATTTAAATATCCAAATAATCCTATTAGATGTGTTAATAATAAATGGGTACTAATTTATGAAGTCAATCAAATTTTCATTAGTGAGGATGGGATAAATTATTATATGTTTAGTATGATGTCATCAGATTTGAAAATTGATTATACAAGTAAGTGGTATTACATTAACAACATGTATTTTATCCTACAAAATGATAAAATTTATAGATCATCTTCAATACCACAAGGTCAATTTGAACAAATTTTTCAAGCTGATGGAGACATTGAAGCTTTATGTTATGGATCAAATGTTTATGTTCTCGTTTCAGGTGAAATGGTCTATTCATATCCTGTAAGTTATAACAGACATATTTATTTATCACAGGATTTATCAAATTGGGAATTGGTTTATTCATTCACTCCAAAATTTACTCGAAATTATAGATTTACAAATTTGTTTTATATTGATGGGTATTTCATTGCTTTTGGATGTGGTGATTTAGTAAATATCAGTAGTGATGGAAAAAATTGGTCTGAAATCACAAAATTTCAAGATGTTAAAAAAGCAATTTTCAAAAATAATATGTTAATATTGATGACAATACCAATTTTAACTTCTTACACGATTTCAATATTATATAATAAATTCAATATTCATACTGAGTTAAATAAGAAAGCAGATAAGGAATATGTTAATACTGAGTTAAATAAGAAAGCAGATAAGGAATATGTTAATACTGAGTTAAATAAGAAAGCAGATAAGGAATATGTTAATACTAAATTAAATACAATGTTTGAGATGATTTACCCCATTGGTTCAATATATACATCAATGAATTCAACAAATCCATCAACATTATTTGGATTTGGTACATGGCAGCAGATAACCGATCGTTTTTTATATTGTACAAACTCATCAAAACAAACCGGTGGAAGTAAAACAATTACGGGCGAAAATTTACCTGCTCACAGTCATTACGTTAATTTAAACACAACCGAAGCAGGATGGCATAAGCATAGATATTGGGATTGGTCAGGAATGACAAAAGGTAAAGGATATGATGTTAAAGATGACGTTAAATTTGCTATTAATTGTTACTGGAACGATACACAGGGTTCAGGTAATCATACACATAATGTTTCAGGATATACACAAACGACGGGACAGAGTAAAGATTACATGCCGCCTTATATGACAGTTTATGCATGGTTTCGCACAGATTGAAAGTCCTGAGCTCCAATTCAGCATACCTCAGTAATGAAATTACAGAATTTTTGAATAAATGAGGGGGTCACCATGTGCTACCAGGTCAACTAACTTCTTTAAAAAATAGTGACAACATGACATTTTGACAACAACATAGGAGGAAGGCAGTTATGAATTATTTTTGAAGAACTGGAGGTGAGACCATGTTGTCATGTTGACGACATGACATTGTGTCAACAACACGAGAGGAAGGCAGTTATGAATTATTTTTGAAGAACTGAAGGTGAGACCATGAGACCGGGTGAGACCAGGTCAACTAACTTCTTTAAAAAATAGTGACAACATGACATTTTGACAACAACATAGGAGGAAGGCAGTTATGAATTATTTTTGAAGAACTGGAGGTGAGACCATGTTGTCATGTTGACGACATGACATTGTGTCAACAACACGAGAGGAAGGCAGTTATGAATTATTTTTGAAGAACTGAAGGTGAGACCATGAGACCGGGTGAGACCAGGTAAACTAACTTCTTTAAAAAATAGTGACAACATGACATTTTGACAACAACATAGGAGGAAGGCAGTTATGAATTATTTTTGAAGAACTGGAGGTGAGACCATGTTGTCATGTTGACGACATGACATTGTGTCAACAACACGAGAGGAAGGCAGTTATGAATTATTTTTGAAGAACTGGAGGTGAGACCATGAGACCGGGTGAGACCAGGTCAACTAACTTCTTTAAAAAATAGTGACAACATGACATTTTGACAACAACATAGGAGGAAGGCAGTTATGAATTATTTTTGAAGAACTGGAGGTGAGACCATGTTGTCATGTTGACGACATGACATTGTGTCAACAACACGAGAGGAAGGCAGTTATGAATTATTTTTGAAGAACTGAAGGTGAGACCATGAGACCGGGTGAGACCAGGTCAACTAACTTCTTTAAAAAATAGTGACAACATGACATTTTGACAACATCAAAGAAAAAAGGAAAAAAAATAATTCCAATCATACTTTATACTGCCTCATTTACAGGTATTTCATCATCAGTAAATGAATCCTCATTATCGTTTGGTTCAACTTGTTTATATAATACTTTCATTTCTTCTTTCAAAACATAACACCATGTTTGTTTACCATCTATTCTTCTCCGGTTCCTATCACATTTATCCTTAATGCTCATTTGGAAATTCTTGTCTTTCATGTCTGATGGTTTGCAGAATAGAGCATTTTTACATGTCATACCTGTACACAATTCATCATAATGTGTATTTATCCATACATCTAAAGGATTTGATGATAATTCAATTAAATCTTGTTTGGCTTCAGTCATCGGTATGATTCGTACATTAAATGATGAAAGGTCGTAATTGATAAAATACGTCAGTAAATTATCATAAAATTCCTTAGTGCATGAATCCATTAAATTCTTGAAGTAATCAAATTGACCCTTGAATTTACCATTAACCCTTAAAACTACGTATCTTCTGTCTCCAACTTCAATTTTGACAGGGTAAACGTTATTAGTCACGAAAATGAAATTGGCAACGTTCTGAGCAGTTCTTCTGGGTTGATTCTTTTCATTAATTCTAATCTCATTATCCGTTATAATTGATTTCAAAGCGTTGAAGTTTGCGAGTCTATCTTCACCTACATTCTTGAGTTCATTAAGTACAAGAAACATTTTATTTTCAACTACTGAGTTGAAATTACCCGTTAACTCACTTATTTCAGTAATGTTTTTGCATGAATAACCAGCGAGAAGTTCAGAAATAATGTCTGTAAATCTGTTTTTACCTGTTCCCTGAAGTCCTTTCAAAATAATTGCTGTTTCATTCTTGATTCCGGGATGTTGAATCATTGATGCAATCCAGCCGAGAAGGTATTTATACACTTCATCGTTATTATCACAAATGGCTTCTTTAATGAAATTCATAAACATCTCAATTTTTGAGTAATCAGGCTTTTCGAGAATGTTGTATTTATAACCTTGAAACGTTGAGAAAACATCCGGGGAATCAGATTTAAAGCAAACACCCTTAACGGTTAATGAAGACAATTGATTTAATAGTACATCCCATGCTGTTATGGTTTTACCTTCTTCATTAAATAATTTAATCATTTTGAGTGACTCTTTCATGTTTGATTGAAGAACGAATGATATTTGATTCATTTTATCATGAATATTATAGTCTTTTTGAATGAAATATTTATTTCCACAATCTACAAAACGAATGACACGTGATAAATCCTCAATTACTTCAGAACTGTTTTTATACTGATGATTTTCAGCCTTGCGTCTAATATCTGTTATCAAAAACGAGTCATCAAGTTTTATATCAAATGTTATTTTTGGCTTACGTAATAAAGGTAAAACATATTCATCATAATATTCCTTTTGATATAGTTTTAGAATCTTTACCAAAACAAATGGAGAAGTCATTAAATGTGCATATCTATCACGTGCTTTTTCAAAATTACTTTTTGCATTTTCTGTTAAATTGCAGAAGTTATAAACGTTATCGTAGGCTTCATTAATTAAATGATTAGGTAACGAATTAATAGCTTGAAACAGTGTGAATAATGTAACTTCTTTTTCTAAATTCATGTTTCCACCGTCATTATGTACTTCAAAATCACAGATGCCATCAACTATGCTCTGGGCAAGTTTATCGTCAATGTTTACATCTTTGTCTTCATTCATTATATTCTTTATTTCTTCATTCTTTTGTTCAACTCTTACCTTAATATTCAAATCATTTAATATATCATTCACTGTTCTGGTTAATGTTGAATCATAACTTCCACGAATGAATGAGTATGTATTGATTGGTTCTGATGCATTCTTGCGAACTCTTGAATCAGCCATAACCACTAATGAACGCTTTGAATCATCCATAGAAGTCATTATGTCAATATCATAATCATTGCAGGAATAACATTTAATCATTCTGTTCGAGGTTGAATAGAAGAAATTAGTGTTGCAATAAATGTGAAGACCTCCTGAAGCGGTTTTAACGATAACATCTTTATCCGAAAGTTTTGATAAAATGTCTTTTCTAACTGTTTCTTTAAGTTCATCATTGTACGATTTATTGATATCAACATCTATAATCGTTAAATTCGAAATTTTATTTACTAATAAAGCTGTACCAGTTTTCCTTCCTCTTCCTCCATCATGTTTGAGGTAGTTATGTAAATCAATCTTATTTTCACCAATTCTTTCGTTGAGGGTTTTAGTTTCTGTCACAACTAATTCTTCAACTAATGAATCAATAACTTTTTCATCAGAAACGATAAAGTCGATGTTGTTGTTTGTTGCTGTCATTTATATAGGAATAAAAAAATAAAAATAATTTTAAAACTAACCTTATTTTTGGGCTGCATCGAATAACCCATGTTGTTGTCAAAATGTCATGTTGTCACTATTTTTTAAAGAAGTTAGTTTACCTGGTCTCACCCGGTCTCATGGTCTCACCTTCAGTTCTTCAAAAATAATTCATAACTGCCTTCCTCTCGTGTTGTTGACACAATGTCATGTCGTCAACATGACAACATGGTCTCACCTCCAGTTCTTCAAAAATAATTCATAACTGCCTTCCTCCTATGTTGTTGTCAAAATGTCATGTTGTCACTATTTTTTAAAGAAGTTAGTTTACCTGGTCTCACCCGGTCTCATGGTCTCACCTTCAGTTCTTCAAAAATAATTCATAACTGCCTTCCTCTCGTGTTGTTGACACAATGTCATGTCGTCAACATGACAACATGGTCTCACCTCCAGTTCTTCAAAAATAATTCATAACTGCCTTCCTCCTATGTTGTTGTCAAAATGTCATGTTGTCACTATTTTTTAAAGAAGTTAGTTTACCTGGTCTCACCCGGTCTCATGGTCTCACCTTCAGTTCTTCAAAAATAATTCATAACTGCCTTCCTCTCGTGTTGTTGACACAATGTCATGTCGTCAACATGACAACATGGTCTCACCTCCAGTTCTTCAAAAATAATTCATAACTGCCTTCCTCCTATGTTGTTGTCAAAATGTCATGTTGTCACTATTTTTTAAAGAAGTTAGTTTACCTGGTCTCACCCGGTCTCATGGTCTCACCTTCAGTTCTTCAAAAATAATTCATAACTGCCTTCCTCTCGTGTTGTTGACACAATGTCATGTCGTCAACATGACAACATGGTCTCACCTCCAGTTCTTCAAAAATAATTCATAACTGCCTTCCTCCTATGTTGTTGTCAAAATGTCATGTTGTCACTATTTTTTAAAGAAGTTAGTTTACCTGGTCTCACCCGGTCTCATGGTCTCACCTTCAGTTCTTCAAAAATAATTCATAACTGCCTTCCTCTCGTGTTGTTGACACAATGTCATGTCGTCAACATGACAACATGGTCTCACCTCCAGTTCTTCAAAAATAATTCATAACTGCCTTCCTCCTATGTTGTTGTCAAAATGTCATGTTGTCACTATTTTTTAAAGAAGTTAGTTTACCTGGTCTCACCCGGTCTCATGGTCTCACCTTCAGTTCTTCAAAAATAATTCATAACTGCCTTCCTCTCGTGTTGTTGACACAATGTCATGTCGTCAACATGACAACATGGTCTCACCTCCATTTTCAAAATAATTCATAACTGCCTTCCTCTATGTTGTTGTCAAAATGTCATGTTGTCACTATTTTTTAAGAAGTTAGTTTACCTGTCTCACCCGGTCTCATGGTCTCACCTTCAGTTCTTCAAAAATAATTCATAACTGCCTTCCTCTCGTGTTGTTGACACAATGTCATGTTGTCACAAACTTTAGAACGGCATAATTTAAATTTTTATTTTTATCATAAATGAATACTCCACAAGCTCAAAATTTACCACGAATCATAACAAGGGAGGAAATGATAAAAATGATGCGAGAACTTGCTAAAAATAACAAACCACTAAAACTGAGAAAATGCGGTTATGCAGTAATGATGGAAAGAGAGATGTTGTCGAAGAGGAATAAAAATTAAATTTG